TAAGCATCAGTTATCATGGATTCCCTATGATGAATTTGAAAATATCAAGGCGATAGGTGAAGGCGGATTTGCAACTGTATATTATGCTAGATTGCATGAACAAACTCCACATTTAGACAGGAATGTTGCACTTAAATTACTTCATAAATCAAACAATTATCATGAAAAATTTATAAGAGAGGTAATCTTTATTAAAATTTTTATTATTGCATATTATCCGTAATTTATCCTCTATATTAATAATTTGAATGTATACTTCTTGATAATAAGTTAAAAGCATATTGTGATATCGGACTTAAAGATCCAACTTTTTTAAAATGTTTTGGCATATCAAAAGATAAAGCCTTTAAAGATTATATCCTTATCATGGATTATGCATCAGAAGGTTGTTTACGCAATAATTTACATATTATAGCACAAATGGATTGGAAAAATAAATTAAATTTACTGCAATGTATTGCATCTGATCTTTTGATTATTCATTCTCATGATCTTATTCATCGGGATTTACATAGTGGAAATATACTACAAGATAACTTGAAGAGCGCATATATTGCAGATTTAGGACTTTCGATAACAGCTAATATTGCATTAGAATCTGAATCTGATGGAATTTATGGAATTTTACCATACATTGCTCCCGAAGTTTTGAAACAACGATTATATACTAAAGAATCTGATATTTATTCATTTGGTATAATAATGTGGGAAATTTTATATGGCAGACCTATTCCTTTTGAGCCGAAATCAGAAATACAATTTCAAATACAAGTATGTAAAGGCTTACGACCACATATTTGCGAAAATACAGCAACATGTTATGCAGATTTAATGAAAAGATGTTGGAACCCAGAACCAGAAAAGCGACCAACAGCAAAAGAAATTTATGATATTTTTGCAGATTGGCAGAATAATGAAATTGTTTTATCAGAATTATCTGAGACTGATAAAAAGCTACAAAATATAACAAATGAAGAGACTCAAATATATACTGATTCACGTTATAAAAGTAGCATTATTTCACTCAATAATAGCAATAAATATCAAGGTAATTTAAAATTTCTATTTTTTTTAATATTTTATATTATGGATTAATTTATTTATAGCCATGGCTACATGTAGCTGCATTCGATAATTCTATAATAACTCAAAATTTTACTAGGGTAACCCTGTTGTGTAACTAAGCAAAAATGCTCTTCTCGCAATTTTACCTACTCTAACCCTAAATCCTAACCTAACCCTAATTTTAAGCAGCACAATTTTTTTTATTAAAAATTATTTTGATAGTACGGCTATATGTAACCTATGGCTAAAAATAAATTAATTCTTATATTATAGCATTATCTAATAATTTTTTTATAGGTAGTAAGTTATGTGAAATGGAAATAATCGATATTATTGATTAATAAGAGCAATCTTTCCGATTTTGGTTAAAGCATTTATTTCTCTATTTATATCAATTCTTTAGCATAAAGAAAATTCAAATATGCGTTTTCAAATAAACTTCATATTGTAATATTTGGAATTTATTATAGTTCATATTAATTAGTAAAGGTCTAAAATATGATTTTAACCATAGTATCTATTGATATATTTAATATTATGTAGAATAACCTTTAGTTTTTTTTATAGCATAAATATAATTAGGCATGCTACTAATCAAATTAATATAAGTTCATTCTATTTGGCATATCTGAAATTTGTGTCAGGATCGTGGCACAACTGTGGCGCATATTGCTTAAACTATGAATCAGATTTCACGATCAGGTGTAAAGTAACACGAACAGAAAATTCAAATTAAGCGTTCGTTTTGACAAAAATCATTTGGGCTGCCGTTAATAGAAATAAGGCAGATTGACATTTTAAATAAAATCAATACCTTAACTTTCACAGCCAATATCTCGATGGATTTTGAGTTTGTCTTAATGATTCATTATTCAAAAGAAAGCATACGATCTAAGCTTTCTTTTGAATATTAAATCATCAATATATCTTAAAATTCATCGAGATATGAGATGTGAAAGTTAAGGCATTAATTTTTTTTAAAATGTCAATCTGCTTTATTTCTATTGACGGCAGCCCATTTATTTCTCGAAAATCTGCACAAAGAAATCACCTTTAGTGCACTAACAAAAGATTTCGTTGGGAAATTTTACTATATAATCTAACTCTTACCCTAACATTAACGAACTTTAAAAAATTTTCGCTGCTTCACAAGCCTGACCGCATTTCAGATATGCTGTTATTTGCCTAACAACAATTTTTTTCAACAATTATTTTCCTGTCAATGTTTTTCGAACAACCACTTCTTTGATATATTTTCTTCTCCAACAACCATTTCTTTGACATATCACCTTTCTTGACATATCTCTTCCCAAAAAAAACCATTTCTCATATCTTTTTTTTAATATATAAATCTCTTCATTATATCATTTTTCCTGACATATACTTTCTCAATATATCCTTTTCTCTAATATATCATTTTTCTTAATATATTTTTTTCTAATATATTCTATTTCTAATATATTCTTTCTCTGACATATCTTTTTTCTGGAATATTCTTTTCTTTAACATATTATTTTTCTAACATATTATTTTTTTAACCTGTTATTATTGTAGATTTATTATTTTTTTTAGCTCTATTATTTTTTTCTGATTTATTATTTTCTCTAACTTGTCTTTTTTACTAATATTTTTTTTTAATATATTCTTTATTCAATATATTTTCTTCTTCTCTAACTTAATTTATTTTATATTACTAACTTTTTATTACTTTTGCATTTATTTATTTTTTTTATTTTTTTTATTGTTTTTAAATTTTTAAATTTAATGTGATAAAATAGACATATTAATGAAATATATTTTGCTAAAAAAAAATTAGAACTAGTTACAATAGAGAATATAGAAATATTATATTATAAGAAATAATGTTAGCTTATTCTATATTTATATTATTATTATAAATATTATTATATAACTAGCTTAGCTTTTAATATGATATTAATAAATAATATATATATATATTAAATATATTAATAATTAAGCTAATAAAAATAAAAAATTTGGAAGCTAAAGATTTATTTTTCTTAATAGGCTAACTAATACCTATATAGGTTAGCCAATATATTTTGTAAAAATTTCATATATGAGAGCTTGTCAGTAGAAAAGGAGCTAGAAGTTATTAAGTAAAAGTTTTTTGAACTTTAAATTAAAATATTTTAACAACTATTTTAATATTTTTTATTTTATTTTAATTCTATATAAATATAAGATTAAAATAAAAAATTTTTATTAAATTTGATTTAGCAGTTATTAAAATATTTTAATTTAAAATTTTTAAAAAAAAGGTACTAAAAACTTAGCCCCTTTTCTACTGACGAGCCCCATATAGGTTGCAGAAATTTGCCGTTATGTGCCAAGCTGATAGGTCACAAATACACACCAAGTACGTATTGGTAAGCTATTGATGGTGCGTATTAAATAGTTTCTACTGGATTTCTGTGGCCTATCAGCTAGCAGATAGGTTACAGAAATTTTATTGTTGGACTATTGATATAGATATAGTATAATATTAATTGATATACACACGTTTTCAAAAGTAATGTTAGAGAAAGAAATCATAATTCTTTTTTTTTTTTGATCTGCAAAATTTACAAACTGCAATAAAGTGATTCGTGATAAATTTCAGTGTAAATAAAATAATTAACTTTATCGTGTCTATATCCTCAAAATAATGCAGTCTATTGAAAATCTGATTTCAATAGACGGCTAACTGTATAGATTTACCTTTAACAGCAGCTTATTAATTAGCAAAGTCAAATCCTAATTCTTGAACAAATGATTATCTCAACCATTGATAATTACTTAATCAACATGATAAATAAAAAAAAAACTAAAAAAAAAATGAAAAAGAAATTAATATTAGATTTTTGGTTTATACTATTTGATATTACTTATACTGTATTAATACGCAGTGTTAGAGATCTGAAAAAATTTTTTTGTATTTTGAGAACATAAATTTATAATTTTATGTTCTTATAAATTTTTCAGGTTCTTAGTTGGTTCTCAAAAGAGAACATAATTTTTAAATATAACGTTCTCAAATTCAAATTTTTTTAAATGTTTTTGAGAACACTGAGAACATTAGATATCTAACACTGCTAATACGTATACATTAAATTTATTCATCGGTTTTCCTACAGCATTGCTAAGCTCAATAAAGCTCAGCTCAACTCAAAAATGATATCCTTGAGCTTGAGCTAAAAAATATACACAACGCTATCATGTAAAAATAGAGATTTGCGTTTTCCGCATAACGATAACTTATTAATCACACAAATAGAGCAAAAACTCCAATTTAAGCAAATCGTGTGTCAGACTTAAATCGTAACTTTTTTTTAAAAAAAAAACTAAAAGAAATATAGTTCAGCTAATCTATAAATTAATTAGAGAATTTTTGATTTAACTTTGTTTTAAAAATTTATAACAATTTAAAGTTTTACTAATAAAGAATAGATGCGTTTTTCTATTTGTTACTGTATAATTTTTAATGAATTATCTTATATTCCATAAAGGAAAAAAAAATCGTAATTTCATCCGAAAGATATTCATAAGTAAAACTAACAGTACTTTAAAAAAGGAAATTTCAATAAAGTACGACCTTTCCTTTAATAGAATAATTTGGCATTAGGTCAAGTTAGTATCGTGATTATCGAAACCCATTTGTATTAGACGAGGCGTTTTATGATTTTAGGAAATGAAATACCACCGGATAAAAATTTATCAAATGCTGATTTAGTCGGCCGCACTGATAAGGATCTATATCGGAAAATATAAAAAGTTTGAGATAACTCGTTAACTACAAAAAAAAAAAAATACTGTAATTTAAAGATTACAAGAAATAAGTAAAATTTTAAATATTTGGACAAATTGTTATCGATTAAACGATTAGAACTAATTTATTTGAGAATAAATTTTATACAAGAGTTTAAAATAATAACATGACAGAAATTAGAAATATATTATTGGTTGGAAGCACTGGTAAAGGAAAATCCGCATTGGCAAATGTTATTACTGAAACTAATGAATTTGAGGAAAGTACAAATCGCATTCGTGGAACTGAGGAACCAAAATCGGAAGAATTTGTACACGAAGGAACAAAATATCGTATTATTGATACTGTAGGAATTGGTGACTCTACCAGATCAGCAGGAGAAATATTAAGTAAATTGGAAGAAAAAGCTGATATTATTAGTGAAGGTTTAAATCAAATATTATTTGTGACTAATGGCCGTTTCTCTCAGGAGGAAGTTAGAACATTTGACTTATTAAGCCAAGCTATTTTTTGATGATAAAATAACTGATTTCACTACTATTGTTTGCACTAACTTTTCTGATTTCGAAGATTATGAAGCTTGTGAAAAAGATCGTAAAATATTTCGTGAGGAAACTGAAAAATTTTCTAAGCAGCTTTCTCGTACTGTAATTATTTACGTAGATAATCCACCAGCTAAAGGCCGTTATCTGCAAATTTCAAAAGGTTCACGCGAAGCATCTCGTAAAATATTACTAACACATTTAAAAACTTGTCAAGAAATTTACCGACCTGAATTACTTGCCAAATTTAGCAAAATGGTTGATGAATTCAATTCAATATTAGAAGAAATTAATAAAGCAACTATTAATGTAGATTTTCATTTAAATAATTGTATCAACTATTTAAAAGAAATTATTATTAAGCGAGAAAAAGTAATTGAAATGATTGAAGAGCGCAAAGAAGAGGTAAAAGAATACATGAAGCAACGAGGTTTTGTTAGTACTTTAGGTCATAGTGCCATACTATGTGGTAAAGCCTTAACAATCTCAGGATTTTGGTTTCCTCTTGTTTTTGTGCCAGGCGTTATTTTGTCGACTAGTGGTTGGTTGACAGTTACCGGTTCCGATTCTGCTTCAATTGTTAAGGAAAATGATGCTTACCGAATATTTGAAAAATGCCTTGCCGAAGATGAAGTAAAAAGTAAAATGTTAGAAAATTCGCAAATAATGTTAAATGAAGCTGTCGGAAAATTCAAAGAAATTGATTTTCGCTTCAATAATTTAGAATATAGGAAACATGAAATAGATAGAAAAAAAATTGATGTAGTCAAAGAAGTACTGAAAAAAAAATTTGGGGTGAAGAAATTAAAGCTGATTTAAATTTAAAAATTGATACAGAAATTAAACATTCTAAGGGTTTAGCGACAGTAAGAGCTGCTGTAGAGGCTTTTTGCAAGATTGTACCTTCTCCTTTGTCATTTTATTGTATTTATCGAGATCGTATGGAAGCTGAAAATCGTACTTCCGTGGAAGATATGGAAACGGCAATTAAAAATTGGAATGAAAGTTTGATAACTTTCAAAGAAAAAGAACAGCCATTAAATATAGAATATGAAAAAATCAGCTGGTGTAAAGTTGAAATGGCAAAACTACTGCCAACTACAATTGAGATACCAAATCCGGCGTAACCCCAATGAGGTGCACAGTCTATAAAATATTATACTTTTTTTTTTTCCTTTCCCATTTATCTGTATTTTGTTATCCATATTTCAACAAAAAATAAAGAGTAAAAAGAAAACATGATAAACAAACGATTACGGTTCACACTTGTTATAGTGAAATCTTTAAGTTAAGAAAAAAAAAATCTTAATTGTTGCTTATACGTATTGAGAGGATACTATATCTAGTTGAGGTTCCGTAAATCAAAATTCTTCAATATACAGAATTGAGAATTCACTATAATGAGGGTGAGCTGTATTTAGACAGAATGGTTCTTTCTTATTTAACTCGCTAATATATTTAGAACTTACATTCCTTTATAGCTTCGTTCGAATTATTTATTATGTCAAGTTCATAAATGCAAATTCATTTATAAATAGTTTACGAAATTCTTTATAATGAATTACGAACATAACGAATTGTAAAATTTTGAATCTATGTTGTACGTTGTAAAGGTGTGGGCCAATCCGGAACCTCAAAATATGGTCAATACGGATATCTATTCACACTAAACTAATCCAAATCAACACTCTATAAGCACTAAACTCTACTGGACCTAATGTTGGAAGGCGGAAAGAGGCGTGGAGAGACTTGGTCCGAGTTATTAGAGCCAAATAGAGCTCTAGACTACGTCACGAGGCTCAAATTCTGGATTACGGGTTGTAAGATGGATTTATTGTCGGGATTAGGGAATGAATGTGTATAATTATATGCGATAACTTATGTTTTATTAAAAGCTCAATACGTGAGATGTCTTTATTTTGGAGGAAACTACCTCCTATATATAATTAATCGTTACATATAACAGAATTCTAGGAATTCTATGAATTCCAACTATTCTCGCTATTCTAGCTAATCTATGAATTCTCGTAATTCCCATCATTCTTCGAATCCCATGAATTCCCCGAATACCAGGAATACCAGGAATTCCAGGAATTTGTACTACCCTTAACTCCCAAAAATAGATCTAAACGCTAAAAATAGAATTTAAAGGTCGATCTTGCCTCTCACAACGTACGTTGAATTCGAATTTTTGAATTCCAAATCAAAATATGTTATAACATAATTCTAAACCGACTGTTGAATGTAGAATTCGAATCCCAATCAATAATAACATTTTTTTATATAAACTGGTTGCTAAAGATAATATATTAAAAGAATAAATTACATAAAACATTTAATCTATTAAACATTATTTATAAATTGGTATTTAATATGCATTTTTTTCGCTCTTCATTTAATATTTTTCGTTGTATTAAGAAACAGAATCTTAACTGCAACCGTTTTATTATAAAATGGAAAATCCTCATTAGCAATAATAAATAATTGTATCTTTAAAATCCTTAACAAAAATTTAATCTATTGTAGTATAATAGCTAACGTTAAATCCGGTTTATACTTACATCAACGAGAGTTATTACTTATTTTATATACATTAAAACGTCGATTATTAACAATCTAATATAGATATTCGGAGAAACTAATTCCTATCCAGCTACTATGGCGCACCTGATACATACTCATTTTCTGAATGCTTTTATATGATAGAATTATGCCAGGTTCAATAAAATTAAGGGCTAGAAAATCATGTGCTGCTAACCAAGATTATTGGTGACGATGGTATTTTTGACCGTATAGGCCAACTTTGATCTGAGCAACAATTCTAACATTTCCTTCGAACTGACTTTGAAGCTAAAAAAGACAATTACAGTATGATTCATAAAAAAAAGATTATTAATTACTTAGGTAAATAAAACATAAACAAATAATATTTACAGCTTGTAGGAAGAACCGAATATCGGCTCAGATCAAATGGAAGAAAGGAAGGTGTAAATCAAACTATATGTGGTGTACTATATGAAATTAATTATTAATGTCAAGGGGGTTTTTTGAATTTAATGATCAGGATTATTTATCACTTTTTATATTTAATGTAAAGAATTCTTGCATGTTTTTAAATGCCAAGAGCGAATCGCTTACTTTTTCAACTATTTTGCATAAATTTTATTCCTAACACATTTATAACAAAATTACGTTAAATAATTTTGTGTCTAGTACTGAGTTATTACCTGCAACAAAAATCTCACACTTTTGAATAGTTTGCAACGTGAAACTGCAGTTTTGTAAAGAGACAACATGAAATTTAAATATTAATATTAAAGTTATAAATATATTTAAGAATAAATTCATGCTAAACCAATGAAAAAGGTAAAGAGATTCAGTATAGACATCTAAAAAATGCAATTTATTCTTTGCGATTAAAATATATACTGTAAAGTGATAAATAATCCTAATCACATTCCTGATCACATTCCTGATCACTATTCTCACTAAATTCAAAATCCTTAATAATTCAGTAATTAATTTTCATATGGTTTTGATTTATATAGTTACCGAATACTTAGTGTATCGTGCATGAGCATAAAAATTTAAATATTTAATTCTTAAAAGTTCCTTCCTTAAAGTATTTAAATTTTTAAATAGTTAGACTGTGGAGAAAGTAGATTGATTAACCTCCGCGTTTCTCTTTCCCGAAATATATAAAAAATTTGTAATTTCGCTTTAGAAAAGATAAAGCCATCGGATTAAAAACATCACCTTAACCAAAATTCTAAAATTAAGTTTCCACCCCGACAAATTTTGTATTTCAATCCATTTTGACATTATTTCACCCACAATACTAGTGCTTAGTGTAATTTTTAAATGATTCTAGAGACTGCTAAAAGACCTTTTAACATCAATACACTTTTATAGTGGAACGTATTTTAAGTTTTCTACTAATTCTATTAATTTTGAGTGTTTATAAGTCTGTCACAGTTAGTAGCAATAAAGATCTCGTGATTCGTTCTGCAAAACCGATCGAAATTAAAACATGGGAAAATTGGAATGGAGCAATTCATATTTCGCCAAAAGCCATTTTTAAACCATCAACACTTGAAGATCTTATATATATTGTAAAACAAAAGCAAATAATAAAACTATTCGATGACCTGCCCAAGGGCATAGCGAAAGTTCTCTGTCTGTCACAGAGAACTATCTAGTGATAGTTACAAATTTAAATCAGATTACAATACAAAAACATGGATGGACCGTTACTGCCGAAGCAGGTAAATATTTATACATAAACAGTCGAACCTCCCTAAATGCTAATAGCTGATATTTAGAGAACAATAAGAAAAACTGCATTTATAGAAATCTAGTATATATTTTTATCCAGAGTTAAAGAGGGATGGGTGTTGTACTCAGAGAGTTGTATTAGGAAGTTGCATTTAGAGAGTTCTATCTGTATATTCATTCACGATAAAGATAACATATAAGAATGAATTATTTAATTTAAAAAAATAGGTACATCATTATATGATCTTGATAAAGCACTCCGAAATCATGATCCGCCATTAACTCTTGATTCTGAGACTGTACCTGACATAGTTCGAGTATCTGGTGTTATAACAGTAGGTGCACATGGTGGAAAGATTAGTTCAGGCACTATGTCAGATCAACTTTGCTCTATGAAAATTGTCACTGGGTCTGGTGAAGTATGTGAATTTAATGATGAAATAAGCAAATCAGAATTCAATGCTGCAAAAGTAAATCTAGGTATCTAATAAATTTTTATTATTGATTATTATTTTTTCATTCATTATCTAACTTTATTACCGTTTAGGTTTACTTGGTATAATCTATTCGTTGACTTTCCGCGTACAACCGATGTACAATCTTCGTATGACTGATATCTATATTCCATTAAACAAATTGAATCCAAAATATATCAAAAATCTTTTAGAATCATCTGATAGCATTTTTTTAATTTATCGGCCATTCAGTTGATAGTATTTTTTTAATTTATCGGCCATTCAGTGGATTCAATCAGAGTGATCCGAAACCTCTCGATCCCAATAGAGATCAAATTTTGATTAAGAATTGGGTACGAACTAATGAACCTGTGAGCTTCACACTAGTGATGGTGACGCATGACGAAACCATTTCGTCAGGCAACTTCGAATTGATGAAATGACGCATTTGTCTCTCATTGACGGGTGTTACAAGAGAAAAAACAAAGAACAAACAAAAAAGAAAGCAAAGAAAAACAAGTA